CAGGGACAGTGCTCCCGGCTCAGGGACAGCGCTCCCGGCTCTGGGGCAGCGCTCCCGGCCCGCTGCAGCCGAGCGGGGAGCAGGGCCCGACTCCAACCGGAGCCCCTCGCAGCCCGCGCCCGGACCTCGATGGACAGAGCGGGGTCTGCCCCATCACACAACGCTGATTCAGATTAACCCCCCCAGGAACCGGGGAGCGCAGTCCCGGATTGTCCTTGCCGTCCCTAGGCACCTTGTACAGGTCACGGTGTGACCGCCAGCTGCTCCAAGGGGGAATGTGAGGTGCTCTGAGAGGAGCTGGATCGCCCTGAAGAGAGGAAGGAGCGCGCTGGCCCAGCCTTGTGCCACCCTCGGCTGCCCCAGGCTGCTCCTCCGTGGCCCGGACACAAACTCGGCACAGGGCAGGGGATCTAACCCGGGACTCTCTCTGCAGAAACCCACAGGCAGCAGCTCATTTCCAGGATAGGAACCTCATCCCATTAACCGTGGTGGTACATCAGGCGGGAGGTAGAAAGGGAAAATACTTCTGCTGAAGAGCAAACCAGTCCAACACCACCACTAACTTTGGATTTCCAGCCCCACATTTTAAAGTATGAGCTAAGCTAATTTTTATGAGGAAGTGCATTTATAAGAAAAAGCTTTCAGTTAAAACTAAGAACTATGACTACTATAAAGGCTTATAGTTCCCTGCTAGCTTTCAGGAACCGATTATTTTTAGAAGTCCTTTCTAATTAACTAGAAGAAGCTTTTTACATTTTTGTCTTCCATCCCCCATCAGGACACGGTAAAACATTGTCCTGCTGCACACACCAAGTCCCTCAGCTCCATTTCAAACACTCTGGCCCCCTGGCAGCAGACACCAGAAATCATGAGAGTCTGACCTAGGATTGTGTTTTTTAAGAACAGCTCAGCACCTGTGACTGTAACACACTTCGTTGTCATAATTAAATTAGCTTCTGTTCCTAAAACGAACAGAGCTCAGTACTTTAAATGGAACAAAATGTGGGTTTTTGTGGGTTTTTTCCCCCAACAGCAGCTGTAATAAAGTTTTGGTGGTATCAGCCCAAAGGTAACTCCACAAGAGTCAAAATTAGATGTGTGATCATGTTACATACATATATATATCTATATATATGATTGTCTGTGTTGCAAATCTTGGTATTTCCACTGTAGACCACACATGGATAAGAAATGCCACAAGAAAAGCCAAAGGCCCTTCATTTGCTCCAGCACTTTTCTAATTACAGCTGGTGCCATCAGTGAGTTACAGACAGAGCAAAACACCGCAGGGATGAAGATAAGCAGCCACAATCAGTACATCCTGTGGCAATCAAAGCCAGACTGACTTCACCACCCCAGAAGAGCCAATTCCTCAATATGGTGCCATTTGAGCTTAAAACAGCACAGTAATTTGTCACACACATAGGTTACTTAGCTGGCAAGCCTGAAGAAAAGCTGTGCATTTCTTCTGCATATCAAGCAGAACATGTTTTTCAGCTCTCTCCAGCACACTGCAAGTCAAAGATCAATGCCATGTGATAGTCACAAAATCCAAGGCAAAATAGGAAAAAAAAAAAATAAAAATATAAAAGCATAAAATTCAGTGCTGGGGCAAAAGGTGGCAGAGAGATTTCATTCATGGTGTCTTCCATCTCTGTGATTTTGATATAGAATAGAGGGAGTCAACAGACTTGGCTTTTGGGGAGGAAAAGTATTATTTTGTTTAAAAGGTCCTATAGCACTTAAGAATGAGAAAAGCTAAACTATAAATGCATATTAAACTCAGGTACTGTTTGCTTTGGTAATAATTGCATAAATTTCCATCCATTTCCACAAAATAATTTTATTAGGCAGATACATGAATATAAAAGATTTACAAATATATTAGTGTTTTCACTGCTGGGGTATACAATGTAATCAATATTTAAAGTCTCACACACACATGTTAGTAACTCTGTCTCCAAAATACTGCATAAAAATACTCGGATTACTACTATGAAACTGATCTAGCAGCCTTTTTCTCTCTTTGTCAGAGAGCTTTGAATCTTCATCAATAGCTTTCAATAGAGATAACAGCTCATCTTTTGTGGTTTTCTCCGTGTTGGATCGATACTCTCTTTCATCAAGTTTTTGGCAAAAGGTATAACCTGAAAGGAAAACATGAGACATTCAGAGGATTGTCACCACACTCCACCCGCCCTGGAGATTCTACAGAGCCACCCTCCTTTAGATCAAATCAGTCCCTGTTACAGAAAACTTTTTTTGCACCACATTTTGGGGCATGACACGATTACAAAGCTCAGGGGGAAGCTTTACCTGTTATCTTGCTGGGATCCTGGCCTTTCTGCAGAGCCAGCAGTTTATTGCTGACCATTTTGTGCAGTGCTCCTGGGATCTGGAACAGAAAGAGTGCAACAGCAGCTTAGAGAAGGCAGTTCTCCATGAGCATACCAGATGCAAAAACAAATACATACCAGATACAAAACCTGGCCCTTTTCTAAAAGCTCTTACCTTTAACACATCTCTCTGGTTGTCCACAAGGAACAAGATCAGGAGGTCAGTTTTCCCTCTGGATAAGTTTTTGTTGTTGATAATAGCTTTAGAGAAGGTCCTTTTCACAACCATCCTGTTGTCACTCTAAAGAATAAAGAGAAAGAATGACAAGAAGAGGAGAGTTAGTCTCCCCCATTAAGAAGTTCTGAGATGCTGCTTTTCCTGCAGTCACAAATTTAAACTACAAAGGCATTTTCTGACCAGTGCCTGGGACCTCTGGATTTCAGAAAGTGTAAAACAGCTGTTAAGAACACAGATTTACCTCCTTCTGTAGCTTGAGCTCAGAATGATGTGCTGCAACAGCCATGAAGTACAGCAGCCTCCTGAACTCCTCCCTGACTTGGCTGTCTAGGAGCTTCAAATAGAGCTGAACAGCTTCTAGAGATTGCTCCATCTTCCCATTCACTGGGGAGAGAGAAAGGTATTTATTGCCATATTCATTTAAATTAATGTCACCATGCAACACCTAGGTTAGCCAGTGAAGAGACACCCATCCACCCATCTCTCTAAACAGAACCAGCCAAACACAGCAATTCATTCTCACAAAAACTTCTCCCAGGCTGAGGAGAGCTGCTTGCAGACACTCTGACAACATCCCACACACAGGCCTTCAGCCTGGCATTAAAGCTCCCTTGTAATTAAGTTCAATTACAGTTCAAACATCTTAAAGGGGATGTGAAATACTGAAAAAGGAAAATGGTTCTATTAAAAAAAAAAAGAATGACTTCTGCTTGTGGTAATAAAAATCTCACAAAAACTGAGGAATATGGGCTAATTTGATGAATTAATTGCAAATTACTTCGTAGACCTTTGCTAAGTTTTAATTTACCTTACTATGCAGCTATTTTAGATTTGTGAATTGTTTAAATGAAGTAAGTTGTACTTATATCCTTTATCATGCAGAGAGGAAGAATGGGATGCAAATGCAAAGTATTCCAGTTAAAATGAAGCAAGAAGAATAATCAAGGCAGAGAACTTATGAAAAATAAGGAGATCCAGGATAAAATGTTGAGAACTAAAATATCAAAAGCTTTCTAAAATGCTGTCCAAACAAAATTTAAGAAACATTTCTGTGTAAAAAAGTAAAAGTTGTCAATGGGGTACCAAGCACCCACACAGCTTTTAGTTTAGCTCTTACAGCCTAAATATTTACTATTAGGCTATATTTACATTTCATTTCCCATGGATATCTGACTTCCATGGATACCAACTAGTACCAAATTACAGCACTGTGATTCCACAGCCATTCTACACAGACCTGAACAATGATTCCAGAACTGCATAAAGTAAGAACCAAAATGTCAAACAACAGTCTTTATCACTGAAATTAGAAATTAAAAAAAAACCCCAAACATACATAAAACCCCCAAACAAACAATGAAACAAAAACCAACAAAAAAACTCCCACTTATAGAAGTCAGTTTTTAATCCTGGCTCTTGAGGTAAATACTGAGTTTCTTAGTACATGTCTCACATAAGCATTGGAACACAGCTCTGTTTTACTCACCCAATAGTTCTGCAATTCCTAAATGAATTTCAGATGCGTGGCTTAAGAGTGGCTCCTTTTTTTGGCTGTAGTATCTACCAATGTTTTCAAACAGCAGCAGTTTCCAGGTATCTGCTTTGTCTGGCTGATCAGGCAGGTTCCTGCTGATATCCACCACCATATGATCAGGAAGATATTCCAAACAGTCAATTGCTGCTGAGAGCCATTCGTCTGTCCTGGAAGAGAGAGGGGGTTTGAGTTTGCAGCTTTAATTGTGGATCTAATTTAATTGTGGATTTAATTTTCAGAGCTGGCTGCAAGGCTTTCCACAGAGAGCAGGTAAACTGGTTCCTTCATCACAGGGAAAACTGCGTGTGGAGGCACTTAAACCCATTAGAAACTCACACACAAGACACTCCACCTGACACACTCGGGTAGATCACAGTCATGAGCCTCTTTGTTATGTATTTAATCAAGATGAAAAATTAGTAACCCACAAGTAAACAGTCACAAGCAGTAAAACCCAAAGTCAATCATGTCCTCTGCTGTTAGATAAGGACACAATTATCGCTGGATAAACAGAAACATGAACCTTGATCTGATTCAGACTGGTACAAGTCTTTCAGAGCATGTTTTTAACTCTATGCACAGTTTCAAGCTCAGCATTCTTTTAATACAGTAGGGGGAACTAAACTATTTCCTCACAAGTGATGTCTCTAGGAAAAATTCATGATGATTATAAAACCTCTATTCTTCCCTCAATGCAGCAAAGAAATTCCCCTCTGAATACCATCAACTACTGTCACTGTATTCAAAAACCATCCCAGTGTTCAGCAATTGTTATTTACCAGTTATTCCAGTCAAGTCCAACAGGGAAAAAAGTGCCTGCTCACCTCCTTTCTGCCAGATTGAGACTGCTACATTTCTACCCAAAGACCAACTGTGCTCCACGTTCCCCTGAAAGCAGAAAGAGCTGCAGTGATTACTTACTGCGAGTCACTGAAAGCCTTGAGGATCTCTCTGTCCAGGTAGTTACTGGTGATGACATATCCAGCTGCCTTCCTGGGCTCTGGGAGCTGAGGTCTGATCTCCTGCTGCTCAAGCAGAGACTCCAGGAGAGGGAGGTCCACCAGCTGCAGCAGGCGAGCAATTGTTTGTTCTTGCCACACTTCATTAATAACTGGGAAGGGTGGGTACAAGAAGCACAGGAGACTCAGCATGGGCACGATCACAAGGAAGATAACTCCCCTTCCTCCCATCAGGCCTAACCCAACAGATTGATTTCACCAAAACAGAGACTTGCAGTAGCAAAGCATGAGGCTCTTATCAGCTTGAAGTGGCTTTTATCACCACAAAAGGCAAGAACTACCCACTTGTTTAGTTAACTACAAGCGTGGGAGAGCTGCTTTTCGGATAAGTCTGAAGTGTCTTACACTCTTTGTGCTCTAATTTACAAACAATCTTTGTTCTAGATAAGGGATGGGGCAAAAAAAAGTGTAACAGTGACACTCTCCTTATCACAGCTTCCTTGAATATTTCCATATGATGAAACCACAGTTTCTAGGATGCCTTAGCACTTTTAACTAAAGGAAACATGAGATCATAATATGGTCTGAAAGACAAGCCATGAATTGTCAAGAATAGTTTCACACAATACCCAAGGAGTGCTGGAAGTGCAGATACACAATTCCCTTCTGGCTCACAGCACACTGTTTGCCCTGACTAAAACAAGCACATAAGTAATGCAATTAACTGAATATTATGAATATTCCTAACTCAAATCAAGCTCTGTACATTAGGTATTCTTCTCCACAAAAGTCAACGCTGATTTATTTCCATCAAGAGATAATGCCTCTCGTCTGATGAAATAAAAAGGCAAGTCTGAAAGAAATATAATT